AATTTACCTACGCGTTTATTTATTCTAAGGCATTAGTGTAGCCTTTATTAGACCGAATCTTACAATGGGGCGTGTAGTATCATTTGTGAGCCCATGAGGCGTGAAGTATCATTATACCGCTTCACCCTGAAACATAGAAATACAAGAATACAAACACTCACAGATTCTACTGTTATTCAAATACATAGTTAAGGATGGTGCTATTAACTAGAACAGGCGCGAAAGCGCTGAAAAGAACAGAATGGCGGATGACTTTGGGACTGTTGGCAATTTATATGAGGCGAGTGACGGCGAAAGTGATATTAGTGATGATGGTGGCAAGAGCGATAGCGAAGAGAATGATAGAAGTGGTGATTTTGATGAGGACGATATCGTCACCTATAAAGATGTGTTCGGTGCCAATAAAGATGAAACACAGTGCGTAGAAGATCTTGTGCATGTGTTTCGACGTGTACTAAAGGACATATTTCACCTTATGCATCTTATCAAAGTAAGCAACAACAGAACCAACACGCGTATCCTTGACGTTTCTGGCAGTTTTATCGAGACACTCTATTTGTGGACAAAATATATGCCACACGAACCGTCGAGTCCGTGATTTTAAGTAAGGAGAAAGAACGAGGGCGGCGTTGCATACGTAAGTGTACGTTTAGGTCTATCAAGGCGATATTAACGCCTTAGAATAATTAAATGCTTAGGCTAAGTCTAAGTAAAATTAAAATCAAATGTTAAAAAACGAAATGAGCCTTTTAGTAAAGTTAAGTATGCCTCGTGAAAACAGCAATACTCTGAGGGATTGTGAGGCTGAGACATTGCCTATATACAATCCTCTCAGTACTGTTGCCGCCGAAGGGATTTTATTTAGTGTTTCGTTGTCGCTCTAATAGAAACTATGGTATGTTTCGTTGGGGGCGAATCCAAGAGACTCATAAAATCTTATCTTTAGAAGAAGAAAAAAGAATAGAAAAAAGAAAAATACTCTTGATGTCCATAGTTATTGCATTAAGCAACGCTAATAGTCCTTAGAAACCTATGTTTGTTTGAGCCATCTCGCTACCGAAGTATTCAGATATAAATATCAGATATGTAAAATGGAAAAGGTATTTAATTAATAAAAATAGTTTAAACCCGTTTATGAGATTACGTACTTTTAAGAGTACGTTTCACGTACTATTAAGATATCCATTTTGAAATAAATAATATTATCCCTATTAAGCCTATTACACAGTCCCCACCCAGCTTTGAGACACATGAGAAGCAAGTTGCTCACTCTAGCTGATTATGGGTCAAAAAGCGAGAAAGGAAGAACGGGTCGAAAACATTAAGTAGCATAACATAGAGTTTTTGTTTCTCAGGCGGAGAAGTTAAGCGATCTCGGTTACCCTGTGAGTTTTGGGCTTAGGTCCAGTAAGTCCATGGTTGTCGACTGGACGTTTCTTACGTTTCAGTGTCTTGAGCACATATAAAGGATGAGCATTAAAGCTCGGGATAAATGCCTGTATGCGGATAAGTTTTAACTTCCGTGCCTTCAGACGATGGAAACATGCTATTTTTTTTGCAGCTTGTACCTTATGCAGGCGTTTACGCCATTTAATAGTTTTGATTATCGAAGGCTTCTGAAGTCAACTCAGCGATTGTACCGTCTATAAAGCGTGTATGATAGCATGTATAGCCTTCCTTATCCGTTCTCCGTATAATGTCTTTAAATTCAGATCGATCAAGAGGGACATTAGAGTCATGTCTTCTTGTGATAATAATCTCGGTAGTCAGAATCCGACTAGTACCTATATATAAAGCACTGGAACCATCGGGGTTGTTAACCTCATAGGTCCCACTTTTAACGTCAGCTACAGAGATTATATATGGTCCTATCCATTTAGATGTACTGTAGCATCGGAATTACGTTGACGGATGTTAACTCTGTCTCCAACCTGATACTCTAATACTTTTTTGGTAGCGTTCCATCTATTTTGCCTTTTTAATAAGGCAGTATTTCATGTTTCTCGCAAGCAAGGATATACATCGTTATAAATACGTTGTACCTTCTCTAACCACGGTAATTCCTGGTGATCAGGTTAGTCCTTGTTAAAGGGTATTTGTAACCCACTACATCTGCCACGAAAATAGTGAGCGGGTGTTGTACCTGTAACCGGATCAGCACACTCGTTCATCTGTGTTTGTACCCACTTAAGGTGGTACGACCAATCATCTGCATCATCTGTAAATGCAGTACGTAAGAAGAACGTAAGTCTTCTGTGGCGCGTTTTATTAGCGCCTTGTGTTTGCGGTTAATAAAACATCTTCACTCACACTCTTAAGCGGTGCGAACCCATAGCGCTTAATCTGGCTGAGATCACAGTCTGTACATGACTGATATATTCTGTCAACTACAGTTCCCAGCTTAGGGTGCGTGATCCCATTTCGCCTAGCATCTTTAAGTGCGTCTACTACGTTCTGGTGCTTCAGCTTCTGGTTTTGCGTCAGCCAAGCAAGAATTTTTTTATCATTCTGCTCCTCAAGAAAAAAAGGTAGTGTGTTGAGAATCCACTTGCGTGGTCTCTAAGTCTGTAGTGTTTCCAGACTCCTGTCCTTCTTCCGCATGAGTGTCATGAGTGCGCTCGTGTGCGTTTGATGCACCTTACTTTTAATAGTCGCATTATATGTGTATATACTTCGGGATTATCTTTCATTAATCCCTTTAAAAACAGGGCTTGAAAGACTTCGGGCTTGGACTCTATGTTATTAAACAGAGTCCTAGCTAGAGACTGGCGCTTCTTAACTGTAGTGGCATTACTAGATTGTATTTCTTGTGCACAGTCTTCAAGTCCGGTGTTACCTTTGAACTGCTTAACGTTCAATCTAGTGGAGAGTGGAATCTCCGATTCTTTGACCTTGTTAAGGAAGGTCTCAGAAGGGATTCATTTGGTTGTTCCGATCGTCTTCTGGACGGCTCGAGTACCCTGGTATAGGAACGTATCTACTTCCCTATCTAAATATATTGGCTCGCATTGTATCATGCTTGTTAATTCACTGAGCCATGGATCTTTACTCCTTAATGGGCAACACAACGTGATGGTAGCTTTGTGTATATGAACATAATTCAATGATTGGGCAATTAATTGTCATGGTGGATTAGCCCACGCAATATGTTTGGAGAAGTATAGTTGAAAGACGTCTCCTAAAGGAGGATTTAAAGTCCTATAGTTCTTTAGTTGTGCATTATGATGTGCAGCAAACATGACAATTGTATGTGGCCCAAATATCTTTTGAGCCAATACAAACCACCTGGGATTACATTTCCAGTCAATGGCTAGTAACATACGTACGGATTTATTAAAGTCCGGTACAAAGCGTGATAACATATCCGGTAAATGGTTATGTATCTCTACAACAGGGGCTTGTTGGACTACGTGCTTAAGCGCTTTAAATGCGTCATCACACTCTTTAGTCCACAAGTCTCCTAGTTTGCCTTTATGACATCTTAAGTGTCCAAAGGGTTTAAGATAATCAGCCAAGTGTGGTACTCCATCTGAAAAGAAGTTTACAAACCCACACATACCGTTAACATCTCTTCCTGTAGTTGGTGTTCGCCAATCTAAAAGGTGTTCTACCTTCCCGGGGTCGATTTTAATACCTTCCCCAGATATACGATAGCCCAAGAGCTGTATTTCGCTCATGGCGAAGTGACATTTCTTCTTGTTAATTTTGAAGTTTTGTTCGTTTTGTCTGTGAAGGACTCTCCTGACTAATGCGGCATGTTCGCCCTTAGTCTTAGAAAAGATGACTATGTCATCTATATAGACTTGCACGTTAAGCATGTCAGCAAAAATTTCCTCCATTACTTGTTGGAAGAATGCTGTTAGTAGTGCAACCCGAAAGGTACATCTCTAAACCTGTATGGTTTACCTTTCCAGGTAAAACTAAAGTACATTTGCATTTGATGATACCCCTGTGTTAGGTCTATGGATGTAAATACCGTAGCCCCTTCCATATGAGTTGTAAACTTCGATGGAAATTACTAGGTTTCAAACTATATTAAACTAAAATACAATTTAGTCAGTTAGGATTTAGCAGTGGTAGCTTGTGTAAGAATGATCGGGACTGCCTCTTGTTAAGAGCCTAAATATCCTCGATCACACAGGGCGTACCTCTAGCTGTTCTTCATTGAATAATTTTCACTAGAAGTACTAAGTGTTCATGACCACATGCCTAATTTGTAGATAGACATAATAACGTAAGTCACGTTAATACATTAGCTGATATAAATAAAGTTCCATCTGAAGAAAAGTTTAAAAAAGAAAAAGACTTATTGGAATTTGGAGATTGGCGGGAGGACCAAAATCTATAAGTAGTAGTTCGGAGATTATAAAATTTAGTTTATAATATCCTACATCTACTAATGTCTCAAATAGGTCCAAGTAAATGAGTCATACCAAATACTCAGGCTATTGGAGCCATCAAAGTGAATTTAGAACACTTTGGAAATATTGGAAAAGAGCTTGC